CTTCAATGCATTTAAATGGACACTTGTTTAATAGAATTATCTAGCTATGTGTTGTGAAATTCTATTTTTTATTCCCTTATGTATATTTTCTGATTTTCATTTATTTAATCTCTTGTTTTATAATATTTTTTTTCAAGTTCTTTATATATGTAATGAAGTATATGACTTTTGACTATTTGATATAGTAATATCCACCACCCTTTAATTATAATTAATTTATAAACTTTGTTTCGATTTTTTTATTCCTTCTTGATAAGTAAGCATCTTTTGTACTACATCCGAAGGCACCTTCTTATATTTAATAACATTACCTGTTTTAGATGCTCATTGGCTCAAGGTGTAATTCTATTTTTTTTTTTTCACAATAAATGCATGTGTTAAAGAGTACTTGACTTGAATTTCAATTTCTTGTTTTTCCGAATGGGATCTTTCCTTCATTTGAATCAGCCATTTCAGCCATACCTAATTTTTTTTAATTTAAGTGAACTAATTTGAAATATGAATTTAATTTTAAAAAAATCAAATATGTACTGCATATTTTTAAAGAGAAATTTACTAAATATGTTGTAGAAAATTAAGAATTAAACAATTTAAGAAATAATTACAAATCATATGAATAATTACATAAATTAGATAATTAACTATAATGGCATAAATAATGAATTAATTTGCTAAATGATATAAAAATGACTAATGATTTTTAATAAATAGATTAAAATTTTTTTTAAAAACAAACCACAAACTCTGGTTTTAGCAAAATTTTGCTGAAACTATTTAATTTTTTTATTTAAATAGAAGTCTTAAGTAAATATTCTTAAACTTAGTTTGAAAGTAAAATACACCTAAGGTGCCTTGAATTTAGTGAATGGTCCATGCACGTTGGGGAGGAAGGCCACTGTGTTATCATATTTGAGGTGGAGGTTGAGGTAACCATGATGTAGTGAAACTGGCAAAGCTGCAAATGTGATCACCGAGTGGCAAGTTAGTAGAGCTGCCTTTATCCTTTGATAAAGGTGAAAGGTGTGAATGTGATGAGGAGAGAATTGAGCGGTTTTATATTATTATCACTTCACATGAGCGCTTTAGATTTATATTCTGCGAATAACACTTGCTTAACTCATCTTGTGCAACTAGGATTAGTACCAGGCTGCCTTTGTCTTGCGTCACATTACTTCAGAATTGTGCTTCTATACGCAATTTTAACATGACTGCTTTGTCATATGGAGAAGTAGGTAGAATCTAAGGGCCCGTTTGAGACAGCTTATTTAGTGCGGTGGCGTTTTAAAAACTCACCCGACCTGTTTGGGTAAACTGCGTTTTGACAGCTTGTATGTTTTCAAAACACTAAAAATAGCATTTTCACACCGACCTATCTAGGTGCGGTGGCAGCTTTCTGGCTGCGGTCTTGCTTTTTCATAAAAATAAAAATTTTTAATAGCTATTCTACTTGGCTTATTAGCAGATTATTTTTAATCAGCTTATCAGCAGATTATTCAATAAGCTACAGTTGCCCCAAACAGACCCTAAAAGTAGTAACGTCAGCGTATGCAGAAGCCATGTTAGCTAGAGGTCTCTGCGCACTTTCTTGGTTTAGGAGACTGCTATCAGAAATTTGTGTTGCCCCTTAAATTGAAGGGAACTTGTATTGCGATGATACAGTTGCAAATGAAATAGCTCAGTACTCGATTTAACATTCCATTAAACATGATCTTGATGGAGCAATTCATTGTCTTTTTTGTGAGTTTGGGGGAATGAACTAGCTGATATACTTAGAAAGTGCATATGAATTATTTGTATCATGACGCACAAACTCGAGATCATAATGAGAGGGAAGCTTGCGTACGCACTTGTGTAACGCCATTATTGCAACAACAATCTTATCCGATTGTTGCAAAGAAAATGTGGGCATATTGCGTAGATAACCCTTCTTTTTTAAACATCTAATGATAAGTGGCATATGTTAAATGTCACATCTGGACCTCATAATGACCGACCTCTTTTATATATTTATTTATTTTTTGTAGCAATGCCTTTAAGATTATGACATCTTGACTTATCCCATTTATGGCTGTAATTGAGCCAAGTTGAGCCGAGTTTATCATAGTTCGAACTTGGCTTGGTATAATTATAAGTCCATGTTCGAGTTGAGCTTGTGCGAACTTTCATATATTGCTCAAGCTTGACTTGTTTAAATTTGTCTTAGTTTGAACTAGATTGTATATGCTTTGTTTATGACAAATGATCGAGTATTTAAATGAACTAAAAATTCAAAATACTATCTAGATTTTTATATAAAAAATTCAATACATAAATTTATAAATCTGATCACACCTACTAATTTATCGATTATAAATTCTGTAAAAATGGAATGTAACTCATGAATCATGATCATATGGGATGTATTCTTTTATATTTTAGCATGATCGTACTTTTAAGTTTGCACCCAAATCTCACATTCAAATGTATGTGTTGGTTTTCTTATAGGGATATGAGCTTGTCATTTTCCTATTTTTTTACAAAATTTTGTAGATATGTTTTATATGAGTTATTGCATCATTTTTATTCTTAATCATATATAACTTACAATGATTGTATTGCACTTTCTCAACACCATTTTTAAATCTGGTAGGAATTTAAAACAAAGTGAAAATGAGAGATATACAAGAGACTAGAGTTTCTCAACACCATTTATTAATCTGTCATATTTTAGCATCATCGTACTTTCAAGTTTGCATCAAAATCCTACTTTCAGATGTATGCGTGGTTTTCTCATAGTGATATGAACTAGTCATTTTCTTAGTTCCTTTGGACAATTTTGTAGATTTTTTTTTATATTGAGTTGCTATACCATCCTTATTTTTAATTATATATAACTTAATAATGATTGTACTGCATTTTCTTAACACCATTTTTTAATCAAGTAGGAATTGCGAGCAGAGTGGAAATGAGAGATGTGAGAGACTAGAGTTTCTCAACACTATTTCTTAATTTGTCATGTTTCAGCTTGATCGTACTTTCAAGTTTGCACCCAAATCTCACATTCAGATGTATGCGTGGGTTTTTTCATAGTGATATGAACTTGTCATTTTCTTAGTTATTTTGGACAATTTTGTAGATATTTTTTTTCTTATATAGAGTTACTACACCATTTTTATTTTTAATTATATATAACTTACAATAATGACACTGCACTTTCTCAAGACCATTTTTTAATCAGGTAGGAATTGTGAGCATAGTGGAAATGAGAGATGCGATAGACTCGAGTTTCTCAACACCATTTCTTAATCTATCATGTTTTAGGATGATCGTATTTTCAAGTTTGCTCACAAATCTCACATTTAGATGTATGTGTCGGTTTTCTCATAGTGATATGAATTTGTCATTTTCTTAGTTTTTTTTGGACAATTTTGTAGATATTTTTTCTATATTGAGTTACTGCACCATCCTTATTCTTAGTCATATATAACTTATAATGATTGTACTACACTTTCTCAACACCATTTTTTAATCTAGTAGGAATTGCAAGCAGAGTGGAAATGAGAGATATACGAGAAACTAGAGTTTAAGAGATACTTATACACAACGATCTCATTGTTGCCTTTAGGGCTGTCAAAAAAGCTTGTTGTTCGTGAACAGTTCGTGTTCGGTTCGCCAATGAGTTCGTGTTCGATTCGTTCGATAAGTAAATGAGACGAACGTGAACAAATTCTTTTCGTTCAGTTAATTAAACGAACCAAACACGAACAGTGATGCGTTCGTTCGTGTTCGAATCATTATTGTTCAAAATATAAAATAATTTAAAATAATTATATATAAATAAATTTATGATATTTAAAAAAAATAAATTTTATAAATTATAATATATATAATAAATTAATAATAGTATTATACTAATATACTATATTAGCAATATACTAAAATAGATATTAAATATTTATATAATATAAGTTATATAATTAATATAATATATTATTTATATATATTAATATTAGGGATGTCAAACTGGCTCATCGTTCGTGAACAGCTCGTGTTCAGCTCGTTCGTTAAGAAACGAATACGAACAGTGACTTCCCGAACCATTTTTATTTCAAACAAACTAAATTTTAAACGAACCAAACACAAACACAAGCTCTGTTCGTTCGTGTTCGGTTCGTTTACACCCCTAGTTGCCTTTGATGTTTTTCAGTGGTTTAAAGTTAATTTTAAAGGGCATTTCATACATATCACATTAGTCTTATGTATTTTGACATCCAACACCTAAACTAATAAAATAAATATAAAATTGATAATTATATATATATTGAAAAATTATTAATATTATAAAATATTACTATTGAGTCTATAATTAAATAAATTCCAGTTAATTAAATTTTATTTAAATAATATATCATATATGGTACAAGTTATCATCAACTTTAATATCAAGTATTGAATAAGTTACTTATTGAACAACAAACAGTTTTGTTCCTGAATATAAATGAATAAGTTCAAATATGTTCATGTTTATTTAAGCTCCAAACTTATTTATTTACTGAATTAAATGAATATGATCGAGTTTTAAACGAGCTGAGTTCGAGTTGTTCATCGAATGCATTGGTTCATTTACAGCCCTGTTCCCATTTAATTTCATAACTGCACTGCATCCATTAGTTAGCATTCAACTGGAATATATGATCGTATATTATAGACGTTAAAACTTATATCATGTGAAATTACATAGATCATAAGTTTTAAAACTTAAACAACATGATTCAACTGTTTTGCTATAGCAAAAAAAAACGTACTTCATATATCAAGCAACACGGCGTAGATCAAAAGCATAGTTCAGTAGTCCAAAATTAGACGATTCATCAGGACTTGTTCTTTTGTGATTTAGATTAATGTTGGAAATTATTATTGTTTTGATTAACCTGTCAACTATCTGTTATCTGATCTTGGAAAATCTCTTGTATGCTGCATCATAAACTTCATTGACATCAATGATCTAAATGCCTATGCAGAAGGAGAGAAGAGGCACAGAAGTTGCTCAAGGAGTCACTCCAAATGTTGGATGGCCATTAATTTGCCTTCAATTAGTTCCTGCGTATTTAGATTGCCATTTCGAATGGGGATTCACACCGGTATCTAATTTCTTTGATGAAAGCTTATTTATAGTTACATTCAATAAGTAAATTCCTTGTTTTGTGTGAAAATCAGAGTGAAGTATCATGCGAGGACGATAAACTAATTTGAAGCAATTATGAAGCTAGATGGACGGGTAAACATGTGAGCTGTAAACTCGCATGATAACATGATTCGTATTGCGAACCAACCTTAAATGGCAACCTAATTTCCAAATATGGACTTGGTTGAGGCCCCCCCTTCTCTGTGTTTATTCAAAGCTTCAGGCTAAGAAAAAAAAGGTTTTATGTTTTATGGCATCAATTTGTTTTAATACTTTTCCTAGTAGATGTAGTGATGCGAACGACGATTTGAGGGGATCTGTGCCGTCTTAATTTTAAATTTTTTTGCTTATAATAGATTCATCTTAGGAAAGTCGCACTATTTGGCCTTTTTAATAGCAAAAATTTAATTTGTGCCTCAATAAAAAAAATATTTTAAGAAAAACAGTTTTACGTGGCCATTATATGAGCACCTAACCTTGCTGATGGCAGCTTCGTTTGATTTTTATCCTTTGTAAAGGAAGAAAGTGCTTTTTTATTTTTCATTTAATGCAATAACTTGTCTTTTCAGAGCAATTTGAGTACATGAATGTATGCATCTTGACTGTTCCTGATCAATCGTGTAACGTGGTGTAGATAGAAATTTCTTTTTGTTTGGAGGCGGTTTCGGTTGAATCCTACAATCTGTTATAACAATCAACGGCCAATTGCAACCAGTCCGGCGGGCTGTTCTTCAAGCTTTTGCTGACGTGCTGAAGAAACAGCTGGTCATGTCATCAAAGCTGTTTGTTGCCAGTGAAGTTGGGTTAAGGGTATCCTCGTTTGAAATTGAGAGCTTCATTAATTGAGTTTAAATTTGAGCTAGAACTTTATTCTATGAATTCATGTCGGTTTATTATTTTGAAAAGGTGATCATTTTTATACAAAAAATATTCAAGTAAAAAGCAAAAAGATGAAAAAAAGTGAAAAAAATATTTTGATACTAGGAGGTAAAATTATATATATATATGTGTGTGGGAAAGAATCGACCCTATATATTAATAAAAAAAAGGAAATATAAAAGTGGTGTGGAGACAAATCCCCGTGTCTAAAAAATTCAAAAAAATTATAATACTCACACCATAGGGGTTTCATCTCCAATATTACAATTCGACGCCAACAAAAGAGAAACCAAAATTTCATACAAATTTATCGAAGCAAAAAAGAAACACCAAAAAGTATATCAAGTATGAGTATCTAATAAAGTAACTGTGTCAGACGTATTGATAGTAGCAAGAAAAGGCACACAACAACAATCCAATAGAGCTCAGTTATACCCATGACATATCTAAGGCGAAATCCAGATAACATCAAATTTCAAAGAGTCGACAAGAAATCCAATACAATCCAAGGAGGAAAACCTCCAAACACAACGAAATCAAGTAATGTAATCCCCAGGCCACCATAAAATAGATATAACACTAAAAACTATATAATAAAATCAAATGGAGGAATAAACCAACAACAATAATGTAAGTAATAAATGAGAAAAATAGCTTAATTATAGTATAAGAGAAGAGCCTTAATGACAGGCTCACCTAACCATTATCCACGAAGTTATGGAGCATCCAATTTGTACCCAACAACTAAAATATGCAAAGAGGGGGGTGGCACCCTACCCACCAGAATATTATTACTCTCAATACCAAAAACAACAAGCTAATTGGCCGACCTATTTCCCTTACGATGTATGAACCTCCAAACAACAGAGAGATGGGAAGAGATGAGTTTAATTCTCTTAATGCAATACAGAATGTCTCACGGTGCTTCAACCCCATTATTAAGTATATCAACCAAAATATGAGAGTCAGTCTCAATAATAAGGAAATGCCAATTAAGCGATAAAGCAATAGTAACAACCATCAAAATGGCTCTAGCCTCATCTTCCAGGGGACTATCGGTGAAATAGGGGGAGGAGAAGAGAATACAATTATGAACTTCTTTCCAAGCAATACCCCCAATGTCAGTATTAAAAAAATTTCAGCTCCCATCCGTGTTAATTTACACCCACCCGGTAGGAGGAGGCCGCCATCTCACCAAAACTGGGAGTTGCAGTGTCCTCCCCCCATAATATTGTTAGTCCCCAAAGATTCAAAATATGATATGCTCGAAAAGAAGTTGTGTTTCACAACTCCCAACATAAAAAAAATGTTAATGCATGCAAAGTTGTTAGCAAAAATCGTTGCACTATTAATTTTTTTACCATCATGCTCGGTATTATTACGGGCCATCCAAATAAACCAACAAACAATGTAAGCTTAAATTTGCAAAAAAGTGTTTTTTGCCTCCGAGCAGGGTTACAAACCTCAAAAGTGCCAATTAAATTTCGAGCAGAAGACATGGTGACGTTAAACCAGTGATTGGCCTTTCCCCAAATAAACAGAATATGGACATAAAAAGAAAAGATGCTCAATAGAATCCTCCGCAGCATTGCAAAATAGGCATCGAGAAGCAAGCCTCAATCCTTTTAATTTTAAAATATCATCACAAGGTATAACACAATGAAAGATCCTCCAAGCCAAGAAAGACATAGTAGGGGTTAAAGCCTAGCTCCAAACACTCTCTCCCCAAGAGTTTTTATTGAAGTTATGGAAAGCAGAATATAATGATTTAGTGACCGAACCTCTAGTTAACAATTTAAATACCGGAGTGTCTTTCAAATGAGGCTCATAAGGAATTTAAGAAATAAATTGTGCACCCTCCAACCACACCAACTGGTTAAGAAGGAGAAGATTCCAATTACCATCTAGGCAAGTGTTAGAAACAAGAAGGTTAACATACACCACCTCCCTCAAATCTAGAGGAACATGGGACCAACAATCATGCCAAAAAGAGAGGTTACCACACCCCAAACTCCCAGTAAATATAATCCTTAGCCCACTCTCTAATTTGCAACATCTTCTTCCACACCCTAGAATCACCCAACCGCCAATTAGCCAAGGCGGAATTGTTATTATGATAGTATTTTCCATGCATGAATGCAACCCACAAGGAGTCCCCTTTCCAAAATTTAAACCATAATTTGAAAAAGTTTATGTCGACAATATGATGAAGCGATTTAAAGCCTAAACCACCAGCATAAATTAGTTTATAAATGCTCTTCCAAGGCAGCCATCTCCTACCAAAGTGGCCACCCGCCTATAAGAAATTATTGAAACATCTTTCAAGGACCAATTGTGTGCTCTTTTTAATTTGGAGAACTTGTAACACATACAACGACGAACTGTGTAAGATGCTCTTAAGCATAGTAATACGACCACCAAAGGACAAGAAATTATTTTTCCAATCAAGGATTCGTTTCCTATCCTTCTCCTCAACCTCATCTAATTGAGTTTTCCTTCTCCTTCCCTTGAGTAAATTGACCCCCAGGTATTTAAGCGGAAAAGTACAGAGAGAAAAATTGTGAAATTGGCAATCCAACTAGCATTTCCACGATTGACGATGTTGCCAATATACAAGTGACATTTATTTGCGCTAAAATGAAGCTCAGAAATAGACTGGAAGTCCTCCAGTAATTGATATATTTTCTTGATTGCTTTTTTGTTGGCATTATAAAACAAAATAACATCATCAGCATAAGATAATTGGGTGACTAGAACCTTTGATTTATGGGCTTAGTGCAAAGTAGGAACTTTACTATAGAGACCATTAATCAAACGAGAGAGGTAATCAAAGACCAATATGAAAATAATAGGGGATAAAGAACAACCCTGCTTAATCTCGCGACCAACACTGAAGAAACCATGAGAATTACCATTAAGAAGGATGCTATATTTATTACAATGAAGCCAGGTGTGGATTGACTTGCAAAAATTCGGAGAAAAACCTCTTGCTTTAAGGGCATCAATAAGAAAATCCTAGCTTAAAGAGTCATAAGCATTACAGATATCCAGTTTAGTAACCAAGTTGCCACCTCTACATCTCTTGTCAATGTCATAAATAAGTTCTCGTGCCAGTATAATATTATTAGTAATCCCCTGACCATGGATAAAAGTAGATTGATTCAGAGATATTATTGATTCAGAGATATTAAATGATCAGAGATATTAAATGATGAAGATGAGGTTGAATCCTTCTAACCAAAAGTTTACTAATAAATTTCGATACAACAGATGTAAGAGATATAGGTTTAAAATGCTCCCAAGAGTTTTTTTAAGTTGATTTAGGGATGAGGACAAGAGCGGCGGTAGAGAAGTAATTTTCAGGGGCCTCATCCCTGAAAAAGCTTTCAATGCCTTCCACAACTTCTCTCATCACAGTACTCCAACATTTAATGTAAAAATCAGAGTTAAAGCCATCCGGACCAGGGGCTTTATTACAATTAATTTTCGAGAGCACAAAAAATATCTCCTCACCAGTAAGAATGCCACAAAGATCTAGCTCCTCCGTGTACCATCTCACATCATTAAAAAGATGAGCCTCAATATCAATAATGCCCGAGGTCTCACGCCGAGGTCTCACGAGCTTCAAACAAGTTGGAGAAATAAAGAACAACACTCTCACCTAACTCCTCATCCCTAATAGTCTAGTTTCCAACAACGTTTTTAATTCTAACAATGGTGTTAAGAGCTCTACGCTGTTTAATACAAGCATGAAAATACTTAATATTTCTATCACCTTGAGTAAAGTGTATCTCCCCTGCTTTTTATTGCAGTAACTCTTCCTCCCAGAGAGAAGCCTCCAACAACTCTTTATAAGCTTCCTGAAGATGAGGAACTAGATCGACTGAAGATTCATCAAGAGCTTGTAACATGGTGACCCTATTTTCAACCTTTGTAACCCTAGCATGGACATCACCAAAAACTTCACAGTTCCATGTTTTCAAAGTAGAAGCCACTTTTTATGTAAATTATAAAGAATAAACCAGGTGCTGTCCACCTCAACACATCTCCCATTAGCTACAATAAATCTCATAAAATCATCGTGTCTTGCCCAGACATTCAAATATCTGAAGTGTTATCTAGAAACCTTTTCGAAAAAAATTAAAAGAAAGGAGGGGATTATGATCAGACTCAAAACTACAAAGGTGTTGTACTTGAGAAAATCCATAAGATAAATCCATGACTTATTAAGAAAACATTTATCAAGGTGTTTGAAAAGTTTCTCCCTTTTCCAAGGGAAAATGGAAGCAATAAAGCCCAAATCAGAAAGACCAGCTATACCCATAGCCCCATTGAATTTATCCATCAAAGAAGGATCCACTCTCCTTCCTCCCAATTTTTC